AAATAGCATTAAATGGCGTGAATTTCGTTTAGAACTACGTTTAATGGCGTACAGCTTTCATATACATACAAATAGACATACGCTAAACTCCGCTTATTGAGGTATGTGTGTTTGACTGTGCACGCTGTTAATTGCTGCTGTTGCGCAACATCAAAACTGCAGTCAGCGTTCGTGGCTCGAGGCATGTGCTTCATACTTTCTCTTCAGCACGGACTGAAATAATTGCAGCTGTTATAAATTTAACTGAGGTGCATTGTGGAGCGCTGAAAAGTATGCAGTAACCTCCGGTGGAGATGGTCGGAGTGGTAATAACTGTAACCAATTCGATAGTATTTTGTGGAACTGCAGCAGTCACTGGTGGCAAAAGTTATTTTGTATAGTGTTGGAAACATTTACAAACTCATTAAAAGTTTTATATATGAGAGCAAAAGCAACAAAACGCACAAACTCGCATAAACGGTTGCTTCATTGTTTTTGTATTCGCAGTAAAAACTGTGTGCAAATCACAGGGCGATGTGCAAATGATTTTCATCCTTTTTTTTGGTTTTTGTTTTGTTTTGCTGACATTTGATAGGAACAGAGAGAGAGATAGAGAGAGAGAGAGAGAAGGCTATGTGATGCGTTTGAGACTTTGCTAAATACTCGCACTTCAATTTTCCAATTTGATGTGACAACGCTGGTACTTAAGGCACGCAGCGGCACTGCAATAGTTGGCGAAAAAAAAGTTCATGCTCATTTCCGTTCACTGAACACAACTGCAACTGTAATTAGAAGTTCTTACTTTCATTTTGTTGAGCTTCAAACTGCAATAGTTGTTGATTAATAGCAACTTTAGCGTCGCTTTCATGCAAAACTACTAAATGCATGATGATGTGATATGTGTGTTTGTTTATAAGTCAGGTTTTTGTTGATTAAAAACGATACTAAAGTATATCTACAGTAAAACTTCGCATACTGGTCCCCTTTTTTCAAAAAACCTCCGTCGTATATCAATTTTGTAGTAGCTCTAGGTACCACAACGGACCGGCGTTAAAAGCTGTCCACGTGAGATGCCTGTTGGGTTCGACCATTTAACCTAACCTCATAAATTTATACGTATTACATTTATATTTCTACTTAAACAACAATTGAGATCTGCTTTGAACTTTCTGATTTTCATTTTCTGGTGATATATTACCTAAAAAAAGAATTCTAACATCAAACATCAACTATTTATGATTTACATGACAACTGAACGATAACTTAAGCAAAAGTTTTTATGGGTCCCAGCGCTTTAACCCTGTACGACACCTTGCTACTAGCTTAAGTTATTTGCTGGATCCTAACATAACGTAGTAGGCGAAGCTATTGAAAATCAAACCTAATTCAGAATTTGTAACAGAATCAAAACAAAATAATAACAGTTCTTCTTTTGTCCACTTTGAGGTTAACAGATGTGGAAATGGCCAATTTTCAAAAACCTTATTATCGATTTCCACGGAGCTCGTTAAAAATGTGCTTTAAATATGAACCAGATTAAGGAATGTAAAAAACAAAAAAAAAAAAAATTACACAATTTTTATAAGAGTTCTTCTAATTACAAATAAAAAAATATCGCCAAGAATATCGAAATGTGGTTTTTAGTCCAATAACTAAGAAAATTTGCTGGCTCTGTCTTAAGAATGACTAGCCATATTATGCCCCAAACATTGTTCGTTTATCTCATAAAAAAAGTCCAACAATGTCTAACTACAACTCCAAGAAGACTTATTGACATTGAGAGGACTTATATGACGATTACCAATCCAGTCAGAGTTTGGTAATATTTGGATTATGACCACACAAATATCGATTATGGAGTTATCAGAAAGAAAAACGTGTTCAACACACGGCACTCACTCTTTAGACTTAAAGGTTCTGTTTCTGCAAAGGTTTAAAATATTTCTGAACTTTTTTAGTGATACTAAAGTATATCGTCTCCTTTGCAAACATCAACCTCACCTACACGCGGTACGCCCTGTTAATTACGAAGGAAGCTCTGACGATCGAGTGAAGGCTTTTACGTTCTTGCCAGCCTAGATGCCATATCGATAGTCCCTTAATAGGATAGCCTTGGATGCAGAAGGCCAATCATTTACTCATTTTAAACCTCTTTATTACTGAAACCGCAAAAGCTATTTTATCCACCCTATAATAGAAATGTTTACATAGAACCAACTGAATTTAGCGCTCCCTTGCTTATTTCATTCACCTTTATTAGTGTGAAGTAAGCTTGTCATTTTAAAGTTCCACCGCAAATGCAACTTTGTAACTATTTTTGCAACAAAATAACCGATAAATGCTCTCGTCATTAATATACTTCCCACCATAAGCCTCGAATTCACCGCATTGCAATAGAAATAACCACAAAAATTCATAGTAAAGGGAGATTTCAAAGCTGATATAGTAATCACATTATTGCGCATTGCATGCAACAGTGTGGAACAAGCAAATCAAAATCGTAACCAAAACAGCATTGCGAAAACAGATTCAGATTCAGCGACAAACTGGCTGCCTGTCAAGTGCGGTTTAACGATGTGGACCGGGCAGGAGGACAGACACGCCGAGAAGGGACATGAAAAATACCACTGCCACGTACTTAGACAGCGAAGACAGAAAAGACACACAAATACGAGAAGAAACTTAGTTGTCTGTACGTGCACACACATACATGCACATGTATAGACAGACAATCTGACAGCACCATAAATAGAATTGACGCACTCTTGGCTATAACAACAACATAAAACGGCGAAATTGGCAAGGAGGACACATAAAGCCAAATGTTGACATGACCAGACGTAGTTCGAAAAAAACAACAACAAAAAAATTAGAAAAAAAGTCTGCTGACGCTGTTTTGAAAATAACCGCCGGGCTTTGAAAGAAATTCACATACATTTGTGTGTATGGCTGTCGTTGATGTGATAAAACTCAATACAAGCGGAGGCTACCGCGTTCAATTGATGACTGCCAATATACAAGTATGCAACTCTGTGTGTATGTATATGTAATTTTGAAAATGTAGATAAAGTTTTACATTCGGGCGAAATGTCAAACTATTTGTTTTTGGAAAACGTATAGTATATGAAAAGTGAAATACCGCACGAAAGGGAAAATTCAATACTGTTGTAGTATATAAATGAAAGTATTTTTTGTTACTAAAAAGTGGCGCAATAATTTGTAACAAAATCTTGATAAATGCGAAAATGAACGTTTTGACTTTAAATACAAATTTTTAACTTTAAAGAAATGCCATTTGTCATACTCTGTTTGGTAATACTTAGCCCTTGATATCACCTTTGAAATCAAGCAGATATTTGTTGGCAACTCTTATGCTTAGTTAGATATATTTTCACTAAAACCATAAATAAATTTCGTTTCACTGCTGTAACAGAGCAATTTACCGTTTCAACTTCAGCAAACTTACTCCATTGTGAGTTGATATTTTTTAAGAAAATTCTTCGGAAATATTTCAAAATTGTCTAAGTTTTGTCAAACTTAACACTTCCAAGTATTTGTTCTACTTGCTGTCATTTCCAAAGTTTTTAGTGAATACGCTTAAGATAACACACACAACGGTCGTTGACTAGCGTCGTGGCAAGGACAACAGCAGCACTCGTAAAACTATTTTTATTTTTGAATAACAACATCAAAAAGAGGCAACAAGTTTCATTACGCACAAACACACATTTCGCTGCAAGTACATGAAATATGCTATCAACAACAAAAACAACAGCTAAACTTTTAGTATGCTCATTCCACTAATCTACCAATCGCGCTTCAACCACCCTACTCATGGCAACGAGCAAATTTTATTTTCAAATTGGAAATTAGCATTCGAATTTAATTTAAAGTTTCGACAAAGTGCCAACATAACTTTTTCAGGCGTAAATTTATTTTTCATTCACTGCGCTCGAGGGCATATTATAATTTTCAGTTGGTAATTAACTTAATGGTAACGGTGTTGAGAGTGTTTATTGTATATGTATGTGCCTAAAGGTGTGAAGTAATGAGATCAAATCGAATTTCTAATACAGAAAATTTAATATTATATATATTGTGCTATTTGCCTATACAGTTGAATTTCGGCAGTTAATATATTTTTGACATTAAAAGACTTCATCGCAAACTTAAAGTTAAATCATCAAAATCTTAAATTAGTCTAAAAAGAAGTCACGTTTATCGATTAAAACAATAATTACACTTTCGACAAGTCGAGATCTCAGCCGCACAGACCATTGTAAGAGTTGAAAAAAATATGCAGAAGTCATACTGCATGGGTAGAGTAACGCTACTTTTAGAAAAATATGTTGAGATACTAAAGTTTTTATTTGAACTTGCTTAACTTCCTGACTACAAGAAAAAACGTTATTTTGCATTGCACCGAAGCCATAATACCCTTCAGAAAAACAAAAGATTCTTTACAAGAATTTGGATGTTGCATCATTGCCTTATACAATAACCCATCCCAAATTTGGTGAAGATATCTCGTCATATAAAAAAATTTTCCACACAACAACTTGATTTTTACTTTGTATGGCAGCTATATGCTATAGTAGTCTAATCTGAACAATTTCTTCGGATAACACAAGCACTTGATACGGATGGTTCAGTTTTAGATGGCTGCTATATACTATAGTGGTCCGATATCAGCGGTTCTGACAAATAAGCAGCTTCGTGATGAAAAAAGAACTGTTTAAAACTTTAAATCGATATCTCAAAAACTGAGGGACTAGTTTGCGTATATACACAAACAAACTGACAGACAGACAGACAGACGGACATAATTACATAAAATCAGCTGCTCATGCTGATGATTTATATATATTATATATAATATTTTATAGGGTCGTCGACGTTTCCTTTCGATTGTTATAAACTTCGTGGCAAACTTAGTATACCTAGTTCAGGTTATAAATATAATATTATAAAACTTTTTTTAAATCCATGAAATAACACGTTCTCCTCTCAATTTATTGCAGACACAACTCCAGTGGCTACGCCATAGCAACGGTAACTGTGAAAACTAAATCACTTGCAACACAATTAAAATTATTTAAACGCTAATATATTGTTACGGATATGGAAGTGCGGGGGAAATGTCAGTGGCAAGCTACTAAAGAACCACAACAGCAACAACAAACACAAAAACAACAGCAAAATCAGCTACAACAACTATTTGAAGTGCTGCAACAAACCCAACGGAAATGCCACCAAAACCAAAACGAAAGAACAAACCACCTACGATTACAGCGAATACAACAAAAACAATACACAAATGAAAAACATACAGTAATTACACCGCAGCAGCTGAAAACGGTGCAAAAGCCAAAACAAAATGTTGAACGACAGCAGCAGCGAAGTGCGTTACAGCAACATCCTAAATTATTACCCATAAATCATCATCGATGGCCGATGCCACCATTGTTGGCGAACGTAGCCACATCGCCACCAACGCCACAAAGTTCAAGCACATCACCAAATCCTAATGTGGTAAACGAATTTGTGCGCTTCACAGCAGCTGCCATTTCCCGAAGCCTGGCGGACGTGACAGCGACATTAGCGGTCGCGGCAGTGACGAAAGCGAAAGCACTCGCTGCAGTTGCAGGTTGTTGTAGAAAACAATTTCCAATACTTTGGTTGTTGGCCTTACTCAGTGCCGCACAATTCACACCAACAGCAACAACAAACGTAGCGGCAAGCAGAGCTGCGGCAAGTAGCGGCGTGTTCAGCCCAACGCCAAAGCTACTGCAACATGGGATGTTGAGCACAGCCGCAACTGTCACCGCTGCCGCTTTTCTGAGCCAAGCATCCGCTGTACAAGCGGCCATTTTGAGTGCCAGCGCAACAACATTTCAGCCGAGACTAACGCGTTACAAATTTCCCACAGAGGCAGACGAGGGTGTGGGGACGGATGGCTACGCGGATGCGGATGCTGATGCATTGGTGCAGGTACAGGTAAAACGCATTAACCTGTTGGATAATGATGATGAGACGGCGGCAATGGCAGAAGTAGCAGCACCACCTCCACAACCCGAGGAACTTGAACAGGAGGAGCTGACGTCCGAGCAGGAAGAACTATACGATGAGGACCAACAGCTGTCACAGCAGGTTGCCGCTAGAAAATTGAATAGCAATGAAAAGCAGTTGCTTATGTTCTATCGACGTGTGCAACATGCGGCTGAGAGGCAGCAACAACAGCTTGACCGCGAATACTCCACATCACAGCGCCATTATCAAAGCGCGGGCGTAGAAGAACAACCAACATCCTTTCTCGTTGAGTCAAAGTTGCATTTAGCCGACATAAGGCCAACAGTTGACAATGTGGTTCCGATGCCCAGCGACGATGTGTTGGCTATGCAGTTATTGCACAAACATGTCACCAAACGCAGTGCAACCACTAAGCTTGCATCAACGACGGTAACGCCAACCGCCTACATTGCAGGTGCTACCGCCGCTAACATCAGTAGCGTAGCGACTAAAAACGTCACCGCAGCAGCGGACAATACCGAAGAGAAGTGTGAACCTAAAGTGTTGGAGGAGGTGCCACCCGAACCGGTAAGTGCGGTTTCATTTTTTTTTTTTACTTTTTATAATTTTATGGTAACCATGAATTGCCGAGGTATAGGTAAAAAACTTCGATTGTTTTAGCCCAGAGAATTTCTAAATTTTTACACATTCGCGGAAATACATTTTATAGAACTATATTTCGGAATTTTTTAATGTTATATAAGGTCTAGTAAAACTAAATCCGTTTTGTTCGATAATTTGTTGCTGGTCGATTTTCAATCGCTTCTCTTGAGGTGACCTTTTCACCAGCAATATTATGCGACATAGTCAGGGACAGGTAGTAATCAGGTCTTGCCATGCAAGGGCCGGACTATAAGGTGGATACACAAGAAACTCATAACTAAGGTCCCGTAGATTCTGGCGAGTTACTATCGTTATGTTTGGCCAGGCGTTGTTCTGATGAAACACACCTCCTTTCCTGTTGGACAAAACTTTCCGCTTCTGCTTCTGGGCGATTGTTTCCTGTCTAATTGCTGACAGTATTGGTCCGAATTAAGAGTTCGGCCGTAGGGGTGCAGCTCGTAGTAGATGATTATCTGCCAATCCCAAGCAAAACCTTACTGACCCCCAATTCCGGCTTGGTCACCGTTTGCGCGACACTGCGATCCTACCACAACTGTTTTCGCTTGCCGTTGTCGTATGTGATCCACTTTTCATCACCATGAACTTTCCGCTTCTCAAATGTTACGCTGCAGCAGCGATTTTCACGTGAAAATTCGATCTCTGTGGGTTTTTGCGTTAACTCGGTCATCAATCGAGCTACTCTTTTGCATCCAGCCTTATGTAAATGGTTCCAAACGACTTTTGTACAGTGCTAAGCTCCTGGGCAATCGAAACTGACAAACGGACTCGATGATTTCCGTTATTTTATCGATATTTTCAACAATTGGCTTGCCGGAACGTGGTTCTCACATCAAAATTATCGAACGGAACGAAATCGACGAAATCCAAATTGCGCAAGATTAGCTGTTACACTATCAGCACCATAAATACTATTCACATTTACAGTCGCCTGGCTTGCGCTTTCACTTTACGGACAAAAATTTTAAGATATGGCGTAATTTCTTTTTCTGGTGTCCACCTTTGACGCGTGTTGAAACAATACTGAGTCGGGCAATTACAAAACTGTCTGAGGTAGTAATAGTAGTAGTAGTATTAGTAGTAGTATTAGTAATAGTAGTGGTATTAGTAATAATAGTAGTAGTACCACCAAATCTTATCTTTCTAATGCCATATAACGTAACTCTATCGCATTTATAGCGATTGAGATTACTAAAGACATCTACTGGGAAAATAATGGATAATTATAAATATATATAACCCTATATCAACCACCAGATATCCCGATATACATATATGTATATATACAAAACTACAATATTGTACTCATGTACAACATGTTGCGAAAGTAGAAAATTGTTTTGTGCCATGAATTTCAATGACGCACAAGTTGAAGCATTCAAAACCACAACTATGCCAAATATTACGACAAAGAACTGTGGTATGTAGTGAAGTAAGTAACTAAGCTGGAGTGTGGTCTAACATTATTGCCTGGAAAATATATTACGTATGCACATTACAATCAACACTGATTAGATAAGCAATTATGCCTCCACCCTCCACAGCATCTTTGCTCCATTGTAACATAAATGCAAATTTGCAAACTTGCACTGCATAGAAACTCCGTAAATACACATACGAATTACATACGCTTATCTGGAACAAGTTAAGTGATTTTGGTGCTTAACTTCGACTGCGTATGAAGCAGAGAAGTGAAGCGCAGAGATTTGTTGCATTAAACAATTTTCGGTTGGCTATTTTCGTAGCACACACACAGCACATACATACATACTTTATAATACATATATTTGTCTTATAGCTTTTGTGCATATATCCATATATGCATATGTACATATATGTTAGTATGTAAATGTGTATGTACTTGCCTAGAAGCACCTGTCTGCCGCTACGCAAATATATATATTTTCGTACTTTCTTATCTCCTGCTATGTATCTGCCTGTAAACACTTCACTCTTTGCTTCAGATATTTTCATAAAATGCTTCCGTTAGCTTCCGTTATAGTGCATATATCCTCTTTTTACCTTAATTTCAAACATTTTGCAACACTAGCATATATATAAACTCATATTTGCATACATAGGTATGTGTGTATGTTTGCAGATGCTTTGGTTATTACATCGCAGCTTTCTATCTAGATACACTTTAATATTATGCCCCATGGGTACTTGTAAAATTTCATTTCGTTTGTATGGCAATGAGCAGGAAATGTTGACATTTTCCCATCGATGTGGCACTATTTCTACTTGTATTGGTTTTTGTTGCTGCTGCTATGTACTACAAGTATAGCTAAGGTCTATATTTACTTCCATATGCAGCTACATGTGCAATATAAATACTTAAACTGGGGCGAACGCATATGAACTCTTACGCTAGAACTCAAACATGCACAGATTTACTTAACTAAAGCAATAACAAAAACATTTTGTATTTTCGCACATGTCTTTTATTTCTGCATTTCATGAGTGTTCCTACAAGATAATGCTTGGTTGGTTAAGAATTTCTGCATTTTTTAAGTGCTAAAAACTGTTGCTCTCTAAATTGCGATATTTCCTTTGAAGTGTTACAAATTGCTTTGAGTTTTAAAAAAGTAATGAAATGCTTTGACAAGCTTATTTTTCTAATCATAACCAAATATCAGTATGCTATACTAGGGTTTTAGATACTAAAGGTAATGAAGGAAGTTAGGCTGCAGATGTAGTTGGGTGAAAGAGTTCGAAGGAGCTTAAAAATTTCAAGTTACAGAATTTTTTTTATAGACCTAGCGGCGCTACTTCACGTCTACTTAGTGCTAGATAAATAACCACAAAACTTGGTATGTACTAAGGAGCACTAAAAACTTTAAATCAAGCCATATCCCTATTTTGATTAGTTAAGTCAGTCAGTCAATTATACTATGTTTCGGCCGACACTTAATCACGAGATTTATATTATATATTAAATGACACTTGTTAATCTCGTCAGCGTGAAGATTTAAGGCTAATCTACTCGAAAGCACCCTGTGCGACTTTGATTTGCCGCCATCTGTTTGTCAGTAGGGATATATATCACAGCTGATTTAGACATTACAAACTGTCAAAGTGAACAAAATTAAACAAACAACTAAAATAATATAAAGTCAAAAATTAATACAAAGTCAAGTAAATAAGCGAAAATGGCAGAAAAAAGTATCAAAGAAAAGGAGAGCAATGTGGAGTGAGGCTGCCGAAGCCGATCTGGTAGAGTTGTGTCGAGAAAAAATGCCACAGCTTCAATAAACTAGTCAAAAAACAGCTGTTTTATAACTCTCCAACCACAGTGAGAAAAGTCTAGATTAGTGAATAGATTAAATGTAATCTAATCACTTCAAATTTTCGGTAGGAACATGGTATTAAGTTCAACGTTCAGTCTCCTGAAATGGAATAACGACTTGGTCTTTTTACTAGGAGACTTCAGCTTTCATAACATCTCTGTAATATGCGAGCATACTCATCTTTACTGCGAAGGGCTTATAGTCTATATTAGTGGAGCAAATATCACATTGAAAATGAAGGATTAGGCATAGCCGAGTCGAGTTCACGTTGAAGAAAGAATATAGAAAGATATAGGAAAATTATAGAGATAGATAGAAGAAGAATAATAATACGCTAAGAATAAAAGCGTTGGTTGCTACTACAAAGCTTTTTTTCTCGTTTAGTACCAGATACCTCTTTACCTTTTTAAGAGTACCACAATCTTGGGAATTTATTTCCGTGGCTCATAACAGAAATTATTATACTAAATTTGGATAATACAAAAAGTACTTCCATCTAGATTTTCTATGATATCATTCATTAATTAAGAATGCTTGACTTTTCAAGTAAAAATATTCACTTCTACTACACTCCGTTGTGGATTTTTGTTGACTAAAAGTTGCTAGCAGTTGATACCTCCTTCACGTCGAATATATATTTGTCATTGGCTAAGGATTACGTAGTTTACACCTTTCATATTGATGATTCATTATCTTTAGACCATAAATTAATGGTTTTTATTAGAACTTAAAGTATATGCGCGAAATAGACTCTCAGTTTTGAGATATCGCTCTGAAATTTCGCAAACACCATTTCACCTCACAAGCTGCTGATTTGTCGGAACCATCGATATCGGAGCACTATGGTATAATGCTGTAACACAAATTGATGGATCAAAATCAAGCCCTTATATATAAAACGTTTTTATTTGACAAGATAACTTTACGAAATTTGTCATAGATAATTATCCAAGATAGCGCTACAATCTCTGCACAAATTTTTCAGATCGGACCACTATATCGTATAGCTGCCATACAACCGGAGCTATCAAAATCAAGTCCTTCTATAAAAAGCTTTTTAATGTAACAAGATATCTTTATGAAATTTGGCCTTAATTATAGTCCAAGGCAATGCTAGAATCTCCGATTATATTTTCCTGATCGGACCACTAGCGCATATAGCTGCCATACATACTGACCTATCAAAATCAAGATCAAGGCCCTTTAAGACGCTTTTATGCTACTTTTTGAATTTATATATTACTTTTTATAAAATGAAAAATTTACCTCCGATATTTTTTTATTAATTCTCATAAAGCAGTATTAACGCAAAAGAACAGGTTCTGATCTAGCCCTTATACAACTTAATTTACATCACACGTTCCACGTACATACTAATGTAAATATATGCTCTAATAAATACGTACATATGTTATAGGTAATATGTATGGCTGTTTATAATTTCAAGTTGCAACATATGTTGCAGCCACACTCATTCTCTGCGCTCCAGCAACAAAAACTAACCATTTGATGATTGCAACGCTTAGCCATGCGTAAATATTAGTTTTTTGCCAGGCAACGTGAGGTACGAAAATCCACTAAATGCTTGCACTCACACATATGTGCATGCGCGTGTTT